TGGAGGTGGATAAGGTTGACTTTGAGGTGGAGGTGGATAAGGTTGACTTTGAGGTGGAGGTGGATAAGGTTGATTTTCACGATAATGTGGTAAGATTCTTCGGCGTGAGTCAAGGTAACTTAAAAATTTCTTAGATAACTTCATTCACAATTAAATTCTTATTTAAATATTTGTTTTAATAGATAAAATAAGCTCGAGGTATTTTATGGTATTGCAATACGCTAATGGTGGAAACCTACGCGATTATTTGCGTGAAAACCATGCAGGGTTAGATTGGCCAAAGAAAATAAGTATGGGAAAACAAATAGCGAGTGGTCTTAAAGTTATACATGAACGTGGGATTGTACATAGAGATTTAGTATGTATATTTTTATTTGGTATTAAATGCTCGTAAATATACTTATAAATATACTTATCAATTATTATTAGCACTCAAAAAACATACTGGTACACGAAAACAGGATGATGATAACAGACTTTGGACTATCTAAGACAGGTCAAGCAAATTCAAATTCTATGATAGTGGGAATGGGAGGCTACATTGAACCACAGTGTTTCATTAATTCCAAATATAAACGTGACAAAAGGTCAGATATATATAGCTTGGGAGTATTGCTTTGGGAAATATCGAGTGGAATTCCTCCATTCAACAACATGCAAATGTTGGATATTGCCAGGGACGTGGCAAACGGCAAAAGAGAGGCACCAGTTGACGGCACGCCCATAGAATATTGGACTCTTTATGAGTCTGCTTGGAATAAAGATCCGAATGAAAGACCAGACATCGAATATATACGCAAAAGATTGGATACCATACGATTGACGCCTGTATATATGGGAGGCCAGACACCTCCTAAAAGTCAAATACAAAAAGCTCCATCGAACAATGACACATTAAATAGAAATGACCCTAATAATAACGGTTATGTCAAACCACCTAGTTATGGCGCAAATCTTGGAGTAAAGGCTTATAATACTCCGCCAGACTCAAATGAATTTCACAAAAGAACTCCACCAATTGGTGTTGACGCTACACCAACTTCCATAAGTAAAAATAATCGTCATGATAATATAGTTCAAAATCAGAATCAAAATGCAAATCAAGGATATAACCAAAACAAAAACGTGGGAGATCAAGGTGTCACATATGGTCGAGCACCACAGAATTCTACGCAAGAAACTCGTCCACAAAATCCAATGAAACAAGAGACACGGGTTGTACAACATCATGAACGTGGCGATAATAACCAAGGGACGCCACCAACGAACCAGAATGCATATTACGAAATTCAAAATAAAGCTCCATCAACAATGCATAATAATCATCCAAGTTCAATTCCACCGCAAGTAAATTCTATGTATAATGCACCACAAAATCAAAATAACACGTACAACCAAAACCAAACGTATCCGACAAGTCAACCTTCCCAGTTTTCATCTGGAGAATATGGAAATGAATTTGCAAAACCTAACAATTCCGAATATTATGGTCAACAGCAACCTCCACCGTATCAAAATCAACCTTATCCACCTCCACCTTCTCAAAATCAACCTTATCCACCTCCACCTTCTCAAAATCAACCTTATCCACCTCCACCTTCTCAAAATCAACCATATCCACCTCCACCGTATCAAAATCAACCTTATCCACCTCCACCTTCTCAAAATCAACCTTATCCACCTCCACCTTCTCAAAATCAAATATATCCACCTCCACCTTCTCAAAATCAACTTTATCCACCTCCACCTCAAAATCAACCTTATCCACCTCCACCTCAAAGTCAACCTTATCCACCTCCACCTCAAAGTCAACCTTATCCACCTCCA